TTATATTTATTTTCTCTTCTTTTGAATTATTTTTGCTCTCTATTTTTTTTTGGGTTACTCTTACTCTAGATGTTATTTTATGTTTTTGTGGGTTATTTTTGCTCTCTATTTTACTTATTTGAAGTTCACGTTCTCTAAAAACTCTCATTAACTATTTTTCGTCTCTTACAAAATCATTTTTAAATTTTTTTTGCACTACTTTGGATTGTTAATTAGACTTTTTGGAAAAAGATAATGTATGTTAATATTACCGCATGAAGTGATTATTATTTTATTAAATATTTTAATATATTAATATTGTTAATGTGATTTAATATTACTTATTTTACCTAAATATTTTTCAAAATTATTATTTAATGGAAAATAATGACTTAAATATTTTATCATTTACGAAATACATTTAAAATTTCTTAATTGATATTATTTATATTATTTGTTAATATCATTAGAATTTGAACCAAAAAGATCTAGAATAAAATTATATTAATTAATTGATTTTAAAAATTAATATGTTATTTTTTTTTAAAAAAATACCAAATAACTTGTAAGTTAAAGGAAAATTTAAAGTAAAATAATAATATTTGACAAATAACTTCTACTTATTTTTAGGTTCTTATTTTTATCTTTAACTTAAAAAATTACTTTTTAAATGAAAATTGTGTTATATATTCTCAATAAATGACTCATTAATTTCACTCCTACCAATAAGATATTTTTTAATTTTTTTTTATCTTAACCTTTTGTAAGGTTTGATTAAGACCAAAACCTTTCAGGTTGTTAAAAATAGTTAAAAGTAGGGATAGATTCAAGTATCTTTTGCATTAATAAAAAAGTATTTGGAGCATATATGCATAGGTTATAGGTTAGAGTTTAATTATATTTTTTATTCCGTATATATCATGATTGTGTAAGTTTAGTATCTCAAGTTTCAATTTCATCAACCGACTCTCTAATGCCCAAACTTTCTTCTCATTTAAAATCAAGTAATTTGGTCAATCTTAATAAATTTTGCTTACGTGACATCATTTACTTCATCTTTTTCTTAAATATTTAACATATGCTAACATGACATGCAAAAATGAGAAAACAACGTCTAAATTTTTTTAAAAAAATTTATCGATGACTAAGAAGGAAAAGTTTTTTTTTTTTTTATAAAATAAATACTAGGTCATAATTTTATTAATTATACATCTTACTTTAAAAATTAAAGAAGTTTACGATTAGCTAAAATTGGATAAAATGATAAAAAGATGCACAGAACTTTATGTCGTTGTAGCACAGCAACAGTGCAATACGAAGAGAATAACAGGTTTCAAGTTTGAAGACAAAATATAGTGAAAATACGTTTAGAAAAAAGCGCTTATAGAGCCTAAGAATCCGAACCGCGCAAAAGTGAGTCTGTTTGTGCAAGTGCGACGTCGTTTGGTTGGAAAGAAAGTTGAATCGAAGTTGAAGCAGTAGACAGAGTAGCATGAGCAGAGTGCAGAGTCATTGAAAGTGGGTCTGCGAAGTGGCAACCAACAATAGCGGCATACGCAATACGCATTGCGGAATTCAGTGGACCCTATGCAAAGGAAAGGGTCCCACTCCCACGTACCACACCTTTCCTTTTAGGCCTTTTTCTTATTCCACCGCCTTTTTTACCATCAATACCCATTTATCATATCAAAAACTAAATACATCTTAATCAAAATTAAAACTCTAGGGACCAAAACTTATAACAAACCACCGTGTTTGACGTTGAAAAATCTAAACCCAATTCCTCAATGACCATCACGGATAATAAAGTAATTCTAGAATTAAAAGAATGTTTTTCTAGAAGAAAAACATGCATGCACGCTAAATAAATTAAAGAACAAAATGATTTCCTAAAACATTTTTCACATACATTTAATGTATAAGATAAATATTTATTTTATATAATTATAATGTATAGTGAATCAATATTTTCAATATAAATTATATTTAAAATTGAATACACTGATAAAAAAAATTAACAGTATTAGAATTCAATTTAAAACTGAAAATAAAAAATATAATTTAAAGAAAACAACTCTCATGAAAGTACTCACATTCAAGATAATTATTTTAATTTATATAGAATGACATAAATAATATGTACACTTATAGTGTTATCCAATTACAAATATCTTGTATAATAATTTTATAATTTTTATTATCTTATAAATTATATTAAAAAAAAATTCATGATTGATTAGTAATGTAAAAATATGCTTGCTAAAGTAATAGTGTAAAAATGTAACATCAATAGTGTATACTTATTGAATTATTTATCTATTTTTTTATTTTTAATATGGTTTTTAAGTATTTAATAATTGCAGGTTAACATAAAAATAAATAACTTCTGAAAAAAAAAAATACTCTCATTCAATATAACCATTAAAATTATTATATATAAAAATGGTTACACCAATATTTTTTATTACTATATATAAATGTGAAGTACTATTTATAATATAAATTTAAAAAATATACATAAAACCGTCATTCAAGTTTTGTTAAGTAGTTTAATTATGTCACATTAACTTATATAGTAATGTTGAATATTTTCATTTCTTTAAAGTTGCTTTTAAGCGACTTAACATTTATTATTATTTTAATGCACATTAACTTTAAATACCAATATCTTTGTTACTTTTCTAAGATTTCTAATTTTTTTGTGCTTGGGAAATGAATACAAGAGACAAGTACAAAATAACTAAACTATTTTCGTAAACTGAACCCTTACTACATCTACTACTAAAAATAGTTTAAGAGAATATGGACAATGTGTTAATATTTCACAAGGCGAGGATGAAGTTATACCCTGTTTTGATAATCAATCAACGTGGACATTTCCTAGAGACATGAATGGAGGTAACATTCTATACACCGAATAAAGAGAGCGAGTTCTATAAATAAGAGGAACATATGAGTGAATTGGGACAATCTATCTATTGATTAGATGAATAGCAATTTTTAATTCAATTCACATATAAAAAGAATAACATCCATTAACTTAATTACAAATCATGAAGAATAGCAAGTAATTTTACATTTAAACTAGAGAAGAATCTCTACGAACTAAAATAATCAAAAAGCCATATACCAGAAGTGTCACAAAACAAATTTCCAAATTATTAATTTGAGAAAATTTGTTTTGGCATTATATTATTAATGTTAATATTAATATCTAATATTTAAGAGTGTCATATATACTGAAAATGTGCTTACCTAAGTTTTTTTTCCTTTACTTTTCCTTTTTGTATATAGAATGAAAAATTCATCGCTTAATTGACTAAATAAAAGGAAAAATATTAAGAAAAATAGTTTTTGATAATTTTAAGGATAGTCTAAGAATATATATATATATATATATATATATATATAGAGAGAGAGAGAGAGAGGGGG